AAATTTCGATCCGGCAACTTTGATGTTGAAGATGCACCACGTTCTGGAAGGCCAGTTGAAGCTGATGAAGACACAATAAAGGCATTAATTGATGCAAACCGGCGAATAACAACTCGTGAGATCGCTGAGAGATTAAATTTATCGAATTCGACCGTTCATAATCATTTGAAACGCCTAGGTTTAATCTCAAAGCTCGACATATGGGTTCCTCATGTTCTTTCGGAAAGAAATTTGTGCCGTCGCATTGACGTCTGTGATTTGCTTCTCAAACGTCAAAAAAATGATCCATTTTTGAAGCGCATCATCACTGGGGATGAGAAATGGGTTGTCTACAACAATAGTAAACGCAAGAGATCATGGAGTAAAAAAAATGAACCGGCTCAAAGCACTTCGAAAGCCAATATTCATCAAAAAAAGGTGATGCTATCTGTTTGGTGGGATTTCAAAGGAATCGTTTTTTTTGAGCTTCTACCGGACAACACAACGATTAATTCTGAAGTGTACTGTCATCAGCTGGACAAATTGAATGATTCACTTAAACAGAAAAGGCCAGAATTGATCAATAGAAAAGATGTAGTGTTCCACCAAGATAATGTGAGACCTCATACAAATTTGGTAATTCGCCAAAAGCTTTTACAGCTTGGATGGGATATACTGCCACACCCACCATATTCTCCAGATCTGGCACCTTCTGATTATTATTTGTTCCGGTCTCTACAAAATTTTTTAGACAGTAAAACCTTTACTTCTAATGAGGAAGTCAAAAATCACCTGGATCAGTTTTTTGCCAGCAAAGAACAAAAATTTTATGAGCGTGGAATCATGCTACTGCATGAAAGATGGCAAAAGGTATTGGACCAGAATGGACAATATATAATTCAATAAATTGTCTTTCATTTTCATAAAAAAAAAAACGAAATTACTTTCCGAACAACCTAATATATAAATTTAATTAAGAGAATAAGAAATTGTTTTATGGTATAAGAAATCATTATTAAAAATTCAGCATATTTAGTTTAATAAAATTATTTGACTATAAAGTTACACAAAATTTCTTGTTTCATCTTTCGTTATTTCTTCAATTATATATTTTATAATATTTGGGTTTGAAAATGATAATTATCTACCAAAATCTATGAATGCTAATTAATTTCTCTTAGTTTTTTGATTAGTATTTACTAATCGATTTATATTAATCTGAAATTTATTAACATATTAATACTAACATATAGTACTAAGTAACATATTAATACTAAAGAACAAAATTATTTCATGAGTTATTATCTCTTTATTTCTAAGAAGAAAATATTTAATTTCAAATTCTTAATCTTCTAGGGTATTCAATAATTTTTCAACGTTTTTATATTATCTATGAAATAATATTAATTGCAAAATTAAATTAATATCTAAGATATTTTCATGGAAAAATTTTAATAAAATGATGAATATCTAAAGTATTAGATTGCCGAGGGGATGAGAAATAAAAAAATCAGCTATCTTTGTATTCCTTTTACTTATTACGAGATCAATACATTTCAATAATTTTTATTGAATGTATAGTTTTAGTGCAGTTCTTTTATTTTATGTATGAGATTTTCGTATCGAAATACAATCGAAAATAGAACTTGTAATAATAAAAATTATATTATAAATAAGCAATTTTTATTTAAGATGCATTTAAGGTTTATATGTATGTTCATCCTTTTTTTTCTTTAAACACTCAGAAATTGTTTTATGGTATAAGAAATCATTTTATTAAAAATTCAGCATATTTAGTTTAATAAAATTATTCGACTATAAAGTTACACAAAATTTCTTGTTTCATCTTTCTCGTTATTTCTAACCCGTAAAATTGATGAACGTCGTTTATGATATCGAAGAAAATGCATCAGTGTGGAGAAGGTGTGCTAATATATGTTTACACGAGTAATAAAAGGACGCTTTCCTAGACTGATTATCCTGCGGCGACAGGACTAAAAGGAATCGCGTTCGCTACGTGCTAGCTATTTCCGCGTCAGCCCTTTTGCCCGCTCTCTCCTCGAAGGGAGAAATCGTAACGCTTTAGGATTGCGGTTCGCCTCGTTTGCGAAGCTGTACATTGCTAACTGCACCGCTAACGAGACTCTGGCAGGAATTGCAATAGCCACGCGTCGCACTATGACGTCTTCTCGCCGTTCGACTGAATAAAGCCTGCACTCTCGACTACGATGTACGGCTTATTAATTTAACTTGTCGCGTTGCGAAATGCCTTGGCGAGGTCGCAACTGCTGAGGAAGCTGCACCGATCGATCGTTCGTAAACGTCTATTAGCATGTAAACGCTATTCGTGAATAGTAAATGCTGACTGCACTCAGAAATGTTTAAATCTTCAATAGAAATATCATTATTCATTTATATCGTTGGAAGTATTGATAATGTTGTATTCAAAATTAATAATCAGAGACATTCCTTTGTTATAACAAATTAATAAGAATTTAACATATTAAAAATAATGTAAAAGTAATTAATGAATTTTATAAAAAGATAGTATGATATAACGTTTAAAAATTTTTTCGTTATAAACCGAGCAAGAGAAACGTGACGAAAATACAGGGAAATAAAAGCTTTCCAATCAAAGTAAGACGCAATATGGAACCCTTTGGCAAGTGCAACAGGGATTTAAGTACGCGGTGCACGGAACAAATGGGCCTCTTCGGGATTCTCATCCGGCCTTTACCTGATGGAAATATGCGAAAGAGGAAAGGAAAGCTCGAGGCGATATCCTTTGCGGCTTCTTCACCTTCTTTAGAATCCCGAGATTCGACGAGATATATAGGATATATAGGAATAAAACATAAGAACTAAGAAGTGTGTGTGTTAGGATATAACGTTAGCGATACATGATAAAATTATATTGAGTGCATCAGAAAATAGCAGCCAATTTTATGCTGTAAGCTCGGTAAGAAAAAGATTTATAAATTGTTGTTTATATATTTATCATAAATAGAAGTATGTATTTACTATATAAGATAAAATGTAAATAATAAAATGTACGATTATTGTAAAATTGTAAGAAACAGATATTAGATATTTAGATATTTTTATGATAAATTTTGCTTTATTATCATAAATACGCTTCTCCTTATTGTAATTTATGAATCGGCCCATTTATTTTTATGTTTTATATTGTGTCTCGCGGAAAAAGGGTCATAAAGTTTCCCAGGGAATTATGAGAGGTGATATATACCATTATGGAATTCTACGGAGGATGGAAAATGCTATTCTCCGAGTATCACTCGTTCCGAATTACAGCGATTTCCGGCAACTGTGCGAGGCTGCTCAGCATCCGCAGTGGTGGACCAGAATTTCGTGGAAATTATGACAATTAGCGCAATTAAAATTGGTTCACAACTAATTTGGATTTGTACCTACTGTATAGCGGCCGCATAAACACGCGATACAAGGCATCATTTGTAAACAATATGTAAATTAATATATCTTTTATTAGAATATTGTATGTGCGCGCACGCTTTTATAAAGGAACACACATTGATACAAATTGCGGAGCATTATGAAAGTATTTACAAACAGAGAGAAATCGCATATAAAAGCTTCGTATTCAAAACAAATGAATGGTATTATGCTCAACATAGTTTAACATGAAAAACATTAAAACATTACTATTTCCAATTTTTTTCATTATTTCCATTATTTTCATATATTAAACTTAGTCTTGATGTTATGGTAAAAAAATGTAAACTATACTTATTATCTTTCAATGATCTTCCTTCTTTATAATTCTAAATTCTTTCAGATCTCATATAAAGAATTGAGAATTATATAAGAATAAGGATTATTGATCTCCTTTGGGGTTAATGCAAAGGCTAATAATGTCCGAATACCTATGAACTGAAGGTTTCACAAAAATGATCATCTCCGGAGGGAAAAGAAAAAGGATCAGACAAGGAGAAGGAAACCAGCAGAACTGGAAAAGGACCGTCGTTCTTCTTGTTGGCGAAAAAAGGAGGGGTCGACTCATGAATAATGCGGGGGGTGAAAGCCGGCTGAAACAATTGCCGGGCGTCGCCCTACTCCAGAAATTACATCGTCAGATTTTCCGCGAAATTAAAACATTATACCGGGTGCCCGAGCTATCACGTGCCCCCTGCGTTAGTCGCAGATTTTTCAGCGAATTTCTACTTCACGGTCTTGCTATTTTTAACATTAAGTGCCTCTGTAAGTGCAGAGAGTGAAAACGATTTTAAGACATTCATGTAACATTAGATAAGAAATACCTTCTCTTTTATCTATTCATTATTTCTAAAGGTTAATTCTTTTATTTTTAATTATCAATTTAAAGATGATATGTATATATTTTGATATTAAGGCTCCTGAGTAGTTATTTCAGCCATATTGAATTGTGACGTCATAGGCGAGAAATGACATGGATTTTTCTTGCATACCATTTGTAAATAAAGAGAATTTTGATGAAATAAAATGATATGATCTCTTTAAAATACTTGCAAAAATGAACGAACGCTCTCCTTATCTTCCCTGATAATCAGTAAAGAGTTGAAAAAGGCTCGTGAAGTGAAAAGACTATGCATTAAGTAAAAACTAGTGAACACACTTTACGTGCCTTTTACGACTACTTACTGACTCAAGGGAGATAAAGATAGTTTTTGTCCATTTTTACAAGAGTGTTTTAAAGCGATCTCATCATTTCTTCAAATTCTCTTTATTTACAAATGGCATGCAAGAAAAATCAACGTGTCACTTATGACACTTTTTCCGCTTATGACGTCACGATTCAATATGGCTGGACTGAGTGTGTGTGTGTG